ATAGTCTCACGCCGGGAGGCCTTTTCCTTTTCTGCCCCACTAAAATGCCACCTTGTGAGGGGTGGTTAGTGGCCGGGAGGGGGGAAGCACGGACCTCAACAACCCCATGGGTCTGCTGACCTTAAGCCACCTGCTCCCGTTCCTCCCCCCTTCCCCCCCCTCCAATGTAAATCTGCCCTATAGTTGTTCTCATGATTTGTCTCCCTGGTTTTGCAAGAAGACTGCAGAGGAGACTGGGAAGGACTGGAAATCTGCACTCTGCCACCAACATGACCAATCTCTTGATCGCTGACTAATTGCCGCTTTAGGAATAATAACCGTAATAAAAGGAATAAAGAAGAAGGTGAGCGTTGTGCCTCCCCTATGAGATCGTGGTGGGGAAAGAGAGGGTGGGTGGGTGCAGAAGATGCTTCCTTAGAAACCTAAAGGAAGGATTCGAGGTCTGTGACTGAATGAAGGAATGAACTCAACATCCACAGAAAGATTTTTTAAAAGAAACATTAATGAGGAGGTCGTGAACAGAACTGCCTCTGTGGGCAATTTGCCAGGGCAGAAAATTTCAGAGGGTGGGGGAGAAAAACCCAAACCGAGAAGTAGCTACCCACTGACTCCTCTGGAGTTTTAATCAAAAATAAATAGCCTGAGAACCAGCACTTGAAGAGATGGATCCCTGTTTTTAACTACAACTCCCATAACCCACAGTGGCCCTGCTGCTTGGGCAGATTCTGGGAGTTGTTGCCCAAACCCATAACTTTTCCTTCCCTAAGCTTGGCTTAGAACTGGGCTTCGCGTGGACCCAAACGGCCAGGGTGGTACGGTCCTGCCTGGACTCTTGGCAAAACCGTAGGCTTCAGGCCTCTCTGATTTCATGCTGCCTCGTGCAGGTTGGTTTGGTGGAGGGGGGAGGAGGTGACATTTTGGAAGGCTCAAGTGAAAAAAAAAAACAGAAAATCAGATTTTACTGTAAGTAGAAAGGGAAGGATCGGTCTGAACATTTTTGGTCCCGAAACCTGACATTCCTGCTTCATCGGTCTATAGCTGCCACTCTGCGCCCCAACAACTTCTGATACAGATACTTCACTCCCTCCTGCAAAAAGAAGATGGATTTTACCCCCTAATTGATACTTTTTTATTATTACCTGTATTTGTTAGCCATAGCTTTGAAATAACAAAGGGACGAAAACCTGAAAGTTCAGGCTTGGGGGGCCCAACCTCACAGTCACCTGCCTGGAGCATAAAACAGGCTGGATTAAATCACACACGGCTGTCACCCAGCCAGCCCCTCCTCGCCACCCTGAATGCATAAACGGCGGCCCAAGAAGGGTTCGTTCCTGCAGCATCCGAGGTCTGCAGAGCTCATCGGATCAAACGTTTCAGCAGTGTGGCACGACTCAGGCAACACTTGGAAGCTTTCGAGCCAAGGAAGTGGTTGTCAGTGTGGCAGGACTCAGGCAACACTTGGAAGCTTGGAAGCTTTCGAGCCAAGGAAGTGGTTCAATCAATACTCTGTTAAACAATTAAGGACTGATCAAAGACGTGGGGAGGAATGGGCCCACCAGCCTCTGGCCAGACAGGATCGCCAGCCAAACAGGTCTAGAAAACGCCTACATCAGAGGCATTCCAAGGAGGACAGAGCGTGAGGGTGTTTCTACACTAAACGCAGGAGCCTCTGAGCAAGATTTAGAGATTGGGGGAATTGAATTGAAGGGGAAACACAGATGTGGTGGTGGTTCTTGTGCCCTCAGATCGCTTCCATTCTTTGGATTTTGCCTGATCCGCTTGCACAGACTAGCCCGGTTATTCCAAACCACGGTGATCCTCTGAGTGTCTGACTTCTTATCATGAACCAACCTGCCAAGGGATCGGCCAAGTGAGAAACCCTAAGACAGACGTTTCCTTCGGAAAAATGTACCGTCGGCGGCCCTGCCGGGTGCCAAACTAGCACTGCGGTCACATCCCAAAAAGCCAAAACTCAGGACAGAAGAGCTGCAAAACTTTAGCACTGGCAAGGAAGAAACTGAAATGGTTAGAGATTTTGTATCCCTTCAATCTGTCATCAATCCAAAGGGAGACTGCAGCCAAGAAATCAGAAGAAAAAGAACCTCAAGTGGAAGGAGGTATCACTGGAGACCAAGATCAAGACCATCCGCATTCTCGTATTCCTGATCAACAGGTATGGATCTGAAAACCAGACAAGAAAGAAAGCTGAGAGGAGAAAATTGATTTGCTTGAAATATGTTGCTGGAGGAACGCGTTACGAATACTCAGGACAGCCAGAAAGACAGACAAGTGGATCTTCTTGCAAATCAAGCCTGAACTCTCTCTGGAGGCAAAAATGCTAAAGCTGAGGATGCTTTGGGCACATCCTGAGAAGGCAGGATTCCCTGAAAAAGACCAGCATTCTGGGAAAGGTGGAAGGCAGCAGGAGAAGAGGAAGACCAAACAAAAGATGGACTGACTCCCTCAAGGAAGCCACAGGCGCTGGAGTTCGCAAGAGCTGAGCCGGGCTTTTTGAGGACAGGAGATTTTAGAGAGGGCTCACTCATAGGGTTGCCATACGTCAGAAGTGACTCAGAAGCACATGTATTATTTATTTCTCACCCCATTGGTGCATAGCACTATTCTGGGTGGTTAACAACATTGTAATAAAACATCTAGAATAGAAATTAAAAATTAAAATCCACTCATGAATCAAACAAAAACGAACACCACGAGTAATAGGTTTTCTCTAAATGTAGGGACAGGACAGAAGGCGTAGGGTGAAGCTGGATGGCATTGGAGGGCTTCTCTATGAAGGAAAGGCTCCAGAAGTATTTTGGACATTAGAAGGATAGGTCCAGGCACAGCTCCACAGGCTTAACAGATAATGATGAAGAACACATGCCACAGTCCAGGAAGGAGAAGCCTAAGAGATTCCCAGCACAGTTAACGAGCTGTGCAAAATTAAGCCATTAGAGAGAAAAAGTGCTGCCTCCATCACCGGAAAGTCTTGCCTTAATGAGGCAAAGGTAAAAGGACAGAAGCCTGCCTAAAAGAAATGCAAGTCAAATAGTTAGGATTGCAAAAAGAGGACCTGGAAGAAAGGACAGGGTCCAGTCAGTGATGAAGAATTCCTTAAACACCTTAGAAGCTGGAAAACAGAGTGAGAATAAAAGTCTGAAGGAGGATAAGGAGATGGCAGAGAAGCCAGGTGAATCTTTTTCACACACACACACACCCCTTTTATGGCTGAAGATGTAGTGGAAACAGATATTTTCTGGAGGCAGAAAGAATCCGAGGCCTAGTGGCTTCAAAAGGTCTAGACTTCACAGACAAATTCAAAAAGAGGAAGGAAGGAAAGAAGAACGGGAAAGATTTCTCAAAGAACTCAAAAGGTAAAACTGCTGATCTTCTGAAGAAACGATGTGATGTGCGTCCACAAGAACAGCCTCTGTACCAGAAGACGGGAGACCAGCCAGCACAGCACCAGTTTTGAAAGAGGGGTCCAGAAAGACCAGAAGCCCGTTAGCCCAACATCTGTCCCTAGTCAAATGGATGGAAAATGTTACTGAGGCTACAATTGCCAAGTGTGTAGAAGGAGAAGCCGTGCGGAAAAGCAGAGGAAGTACAGCTTCTGCAAAGCGAACTTGCCTCACTAGCCTTTCCAAGTGGTTTGAAAATGGGGATAAACATACAGGCAGGCGCTGATTCCTTAGATTTCTGAACGGCTTTTGATAAAGTTGCTCCTCACCAAAGATTCCTTTTCCCAGAGAAAATTCTGGAGCAGGTTATAAAGCAGTCGCTCTGCAAACAACGCAGTAATAACTAGAAGCCAACACAGATTTGTCAAGACTAATCTTACCTCGTTTTTTGATCTGGTGATGACCTCCCTGGTCCCACCAAGACTGTGGGAATGCAGTAGATGTAATAGATCCTTGACAGGGAGTTGGAATTATAGGGCCCTTCCAATTCAGTTGTTCCAGGATTCTATGACTTCAGCAAAGCCTTTGACAAAGGGCCCCGGGATATTCAGATAGGCAAGCTAACTAGGTGTGGGCTGGATAGAAGAACTGTACAAAACCCCAAAACCCACCCACCCCCACATTGTAGCATTTTAAAAACTAACTGCTATATTTTAATGTAAGCTTTTATGGAGCTCAGTCCACTTCTTCAGATAGACTTATGAGCAGGAAGACTCATATTCTATTTGGCCTCCGCTTCCTTTGACCACAGTCCTGTGAAATCTTATGCTCAATAAAGATTGAAAAGGATATGAGACGTTATTGTTTTATTTTTGACTGGGGTGATCATGGGTGCTGTAGTCCAATTAAAAAGAAAGGCATGGACTTTTTTTTCTGGTGCAGTCCAGGTAATATAAAAAAATGGTCAGTGGTGGTGGATTTTGGGACTTGTAGTCCAAAATCTTCCCCGACTCTGCGAAGGAGGCCTTCTCCTCCTGGCACGTGTATTTTAAAAATCCAGGCTGGTCTCCATCCATAAAAGTGGCTTCTAAGGCAAGATGCAAAAGCATCAAGTGGCACGTAGATTATAACCAATACCACAGTGATGCATCAGCAGAGGGAAAAAAGAGGCAGTGAAAAGCAGAACCCGTCAAGCCCTTGAAAAATAGACCACCAGACCCGGCAACAGTGTAAAAAAGAAAAACCAAGGGGAACAACAGTATTATTACCAAGCTTGGAATCGTTTGGAAAACCATCCGTCTAGGTGACAACCAATAGCGGCTGAAAGTGCAGCTTCCACACACCCTTTAAAGGCACAGGGGCCCTGGCCTCTTTGCACATGGCCACCCTGGGTGTGTCTTTTTTCAACATGCCCCCTTCAAGAGGATCCACGGGTCCACGTCACCCTTGCTGCGGCCACCGGACACCTAAGAAAAGCAGCATCTCATCCCTAACTTCATCCAAAACTCTCTGTTTTAGGATTCACCAACAACAAAGCACAGCTACAAACCTGGTAATTTAGAGGGAAGAAAAACAGTCACACTTAACTGAGGATGGTCCCTGGACTTTTGGGTCCCTCTCGGGGAGGCCCGGTCTCTGCGCAGCGGACACGGTGGTCTAATCGCAACCTGGATATCTGTGGCAAAAGCAAAACTGTCTTCCAGTTCATTCACCTGAACTCAGTTGAGCCAGGCTGGTCTCTTAAAGGGACAAAGCATGGACAGTCCCTGGGGATGGTTTTGCTGAGGATGATGGTGCTCACGGGCGGCCCACACGCCCGATGGGGCTGGCAAAAGTGTCTGTCTGAAAAAAGGACCTGTTCTAGGTGTTGACCACAACAGTAAGTTGCAAGAGATAACCTTCTCTCTCTCTCTCTCTATATCATTGGAAGTGGAAATCATGTTAGGCAAGGTATGCGTAGGCCATAGCAAGGAAAACTCTGGCTTGCCAAACGTTTTGGCGTAGCCAGCATGGTGAGGGGCTATGGGATTTGTAGTCCTGAGCCCTTGGAGGGCCAAAGAGTTCGCCGTGTCTGTTACCATTCGTTTTAAACTCAAACAAGGGCTGCACTGGGTGGTGAGGTTTTCAAGTAGACCAAGGGTAAGTCCCCTTGTGGACTACAGGTCCCAGTAATCCATGCCATGGGGATTCTGGAAGAGGTAGTCCTGTAGAGGAACCCTTCCCAAAAATCTGATTCTCAAGTGTCGCCCAAGGAGAGCTGAAAATGGAATTAAGTGAATAAATTCACATGGTTCCCAAAGGGGTGTGCCTGTGTTGCAATTTTGTTGAAAGCTGGTTTTCCCAACAAAAACACTCCCCCTTTTTGGGGTTTCACTAAGACTTGGGGCTCCCTGTGGATCATGCGCTTCCCTCCCACCGCCCTCCAAAAACTAGGCTCTGTGCCTTTTTTTCACTCCCATGTTATTTCTCATTGTGGCCACAAGAAGGCAGCGTTGCCAAGAAAAAATAAAAACATTTTTGTGTAGTTTTTTTAAAGCAAGAAATGTTGTGTTCTTGCATCTTCTCCAGGCCTCAACTAATACCTCCTCCAAGCCGACAGGTCGCTTTGTCCCATGGAACCCACTGCTACTGGAGATGCTGGAAAGGGCAAAGGGTAAGAGGAGGGTTCTGTTTTGTTGTGTTTGTAAAAAAGAGTTTGTTTTGCAGGAGCACTACAGCAACAGCAAGCCAGTTCAGGATTGTTTTCACATGCAAACAGAGCTTGGAAAAATTTCTTTTTGACTACAAATTTCAGAATCCCCTTCCAGCCATCATGGTGGGTGGATTCTGGCATTTGGAGTCCAAAAGTGTAACTCTCCCAGCCTCTGGGCTGCCCCTCGCGAAAGCTTTCAAAGCTCTGCCTTTCTTACCAATGTTTTCTTTATTTGGGGGTGCCTGTTGGTTTTATCTGTTGTTGTGCTTTTTTATTGAATGCACTTTACAAAATCTGATATGCCACCTGTGGAGGGCTCTCTCTTTTTAAAAAAAGCCCCCTTCCATTTTCCCATCTTCCTTACTAACAGTCATCTGTAAGCCGCCCTGCTGTTCCCTGTCATGACTCATCTGCCCCAGCTTTCCAGGGTGAAGCTCAGCTTATCTGCTCCACGCCTATGTGGGTGTGTGCTTTCCCCCCTGAAACAAAATGGGTCATTATGAGCTTTCTCAGTCTCTCTCTCTCTCTCTCTCTCTCTCATGCACACTGTCTCCTTTTTTAAAAAATCCAAGCATGGATCACTATACACACACACACCCCAAAAAACCCCAAAATATAAGGATGTTTTCACACTTTTGAACAGTCTTCTGCAATCACAGGTCTGCGCCACAGGGACAACCTGGGTGTGTGTGTGTGTTTCAGGGTAAAAAGAATCCAGCACACACACACAAAAAAGGGAAATCAAACTCTGCCTGTGGATACTGCTGACTCCGGTGACCTGCTACTGACCTGCAGTGTACTAGAGGTGGGTCATATGCAGGCCGCCAGAAATGTCCCTGGGCCACAACAACCAGCCCTCCTGGCCACCGACTGTGTTGGTGTGGACAGCTGGAAGCAGCAACAAATGGGGGGCCAGATGTGGAAGGCCCCCCCATCTGGCTGATCTTTGAACCAGACAGACAGATGTTGGCTGTTTTTGGCAGGGCTGTGGTTTAAACCATTTGGGAGCCCCGTTCCAGAGTCAGGACAGAGGCTGGGTCCCCTTCCAGCTCTAGAGAGGGGCAGGGTCTAAAAACAACCTGGTTCGGTGGCCGTTTTGGACTCCCTGTGATTTCCCTGCCGTGCTTAAAAGGAGGCGGCTGGTTCCTAAGGGCAGAGCAGACCTTTGGTCCCTGAGCTGGGCTGATATTGGGGGAAGCAGTCGTTTAATTGCCCTGATGAAGGATTGCCTGATGAGCTGCGACACAAGGGCCGGGTACATGGTGAACCCTCCGATTAAATCGTCATCTGTGGATTATCCGCCCCAGCCGGGGCTGAGGATGCTACACGCACAGGCCGTGATTGCAGGCACCCAGCTTGGTTGAGAGCTGGAGAGCTAGCACTGCAAACAATAATTATGACCCGTTGATTGGTGCTAATTAACTTGGCTGACTGAGCTTGGGGGCTGGGAGTTGGGGTGGAGAAGAGGGACCTGCAAGGCGTTGTTGGGATGTGATGCTGCCACCTTCAGCTCCTCCCAAGGCCGCCGCCCGGCACAGATGCTCCTGAGGACCCCCCCTCCCCAGCGCACAGAGGCAACGGCCAGGGAGGCGATGGGGGCAAAGCTGGCACTCGGCCCAGGGGACGTCCGGCCTTTATTGGTCTTGACACTTGCCAGCGTCTTAGCAGGTAAGCAAATTAGTCGGGTGTGCCTGTGTTGCAATTTTGTTGAAAGCTGGTTTTCCCAACAAAAACACTCCCCCTTTTTGGGGTTTCACTAAGACTTGGGGCTCCCTGTGGATCATGCGCTTCCCTCCCACCGCCCTCCAAAAACTAGGCTCTGTGCCTTTTTTTCACTCCCATGTTATTTCTCATTGTGGCCACAAGAAGGCAGCGTTGCCAAGAAAAAATAAAAACATTTTTGTGTAGTTTTTTTAAAGCAAGAAATGTTGTGTTCTTGCATCTTCTCCAGGCCTCAACTAATACCTCCTCCAAGCCGACAGGTCGCTTTGTCCCATGGAACCCACTGCTACTGGAGATGCTGGAAAGGGCAAAGGGTAAGAGGAGGGTTCTGTTTTGTTGTGTTTGTAAAAAAGAGTTTGTTTTGCAGGAGCACTACAGCAACAGCAAGCCAGTTCAGGATTGTTTTCACATGCAAACAGAGCTTGGAAAAATTTCTTTTTGACTACAAATTTCAGAATCCCCTTCCAGCCATCATGGTGGGTGGATTCTGGCATTTGGAGTCCAAAAGTGTAACTCTCCCAGCCTCTGGGCTGCCCCTCGCGAAAGCTTTCAAAGCTCTGCCTTTCTTACCAATGTTTTCTTTATTTGGGGGTGCCTGTTGGTTTTATCTGTTGTTGTGCTTTTTTATTGAATGCACTTTACAAAATCTGATATGCCACCTGTGGAGGGCTCTCTCTTTTTAAAAAAAGCCCCCTTCCATTTTCCCGTCTTCCTTACTAACAGTCATCTGTAAGCCGCCCTGCTGTTCCTTGCCATGACTCATCTGCCCCAGCTTTCCAGGGTGAAGCTCAGCTTATCTGCTCCACGCCTATGTGGGTGTGTGCTTTCCCCCCTGAAACAAAATGGGTCATTATGAGCTTTCTCAGTCTCTCTCTCTCTCTCTCTCTCTCTCTCATGCACACTGTCTCCTTTTTTAAAAAATCCAAGCATGGATCACTATACACACACACACCCCAAAAAACCCCAAAATATAAGGATGTTTTCACACTTTTGAACAGTCTTCTGCAATCACAGGTCTGCGCCACAGGGACAACCTGGGTGTGTGTGTGTGTTTCAGGGTAAAAAGAATCCAGCACACACACACAAAAAAGGGAAATCAAACTCTGCCTGTGGATACTGCTGACTCCGGTGACCTGCTACTGACCTGCAGTGTACTAGAGGTGGGTCATATGCAGGCCGCCAGAAATGTCCCTGGGCCACAACAACCAGCCCTCCTGGCCACCGACTGTGTTGGTGTGGACAGCTGGAAGCAGCAACAAATGGGGGGCCAGATGTGGAAGGCCCCCCCATCTGGCTGATCTTTGAACCAGACAGACAGATGTTGGCTGTTTTTGGCAGGGCTGTGGTTTAAACCATTTGGGAGCCCCGTTCCAGAGTCAGGACAGAGGCTGGGTCCCCTTCCAGCTCTAGAGAGGGGCAGGGTCTAAAAACAACCTGGTTCGGTGGCCGTTTTGGACTCCCTGTGATTTCCCTGCCGTGCTTAAAAGGAGGCGGCTGGTTCCTAAGGGCAGAGCAGACCTTTGGTCCCTGAGCTGGGCTGATATTGGGGGAAGCAGTCGTTTAATTGCCCTGATGAAGGATTGCCTGATGAGCTGCGACACAAGGGCCGGGTACATGGTGAACCCTCCGATTAAATCGTCATCTGTGGATTATCCGCCCCAGCCGGGGCTGAGGATGCTACACGCACAGGCCGTGATTGCAGGCACCCAGCTTGGTTGAGAGCTGGAGAGCTAGCACTGCAAACAATAATTATGACCCGTTGATTGGTGCTAATTAACTTGGCTGACTGAGCTTGGGGGCTGGGAGTTGGGGTGGAGAAGAGGGACCTGCAAGGCGTTGTTGGGATGTGATGCTGCCACCTTCAGCTCCTCCCAAGGCCGCCGCCCGGCACAGATGCTCCTGAGGACCCCCCCTCCCCAGCGCACAGAGGCAACGGCCAGGGAGGCGATGGGGGCAAAGCTGGCACTCGGCCCAGGGGACGTCCGGCCTTTATTGGTCTTGACACTTGCCAGCGTCTTAGCAGGTAAGCAAATTAGTCTGACTTTAGATACCCTGTAGAAATCCCCTAGAGGTGGCGTGGGGGGGGGCGTGGGGAGGAAGTTGGTGGTAGCCTTCAGGTGAGAAAGTGTATGTGCGGCGGAAGTCTCTTATAAACAGAGTTTGGGAGGGGCAGAGAGGAAGCAATATGTGGTGGGTTTTTTGTTTTTTAAAAAGTGCTGTGTTTTGAGGGATGAGGCATGTTGTATGGGAAGGTTTAGGGATATGAAATCTCTCCCTTCTTTTTTTCCTTCTTGCGCAGTTTTCTTGACTTGCCCTCTCCAATAAGTGTCCAGTAATTCTGATGGCATGTTGGCATTGTGGAGGAT